TATCCTCTATGAAAAATTACCTTTGCCAAATCATCTCTTCCGACATCCAGGGCAGCAATGAAAATTTGTTCGTACACAGACCACACTATAAAAAAAAACTATTGATTATATAGTCGAATTAATCATCACATCAAACCCCTAAAATAACAAAATCTAACCTTCGTCCCCAAGTTTCCCGGTCAGTCCACCATCAACCAATGCTTGTCCTAGAGATACAACTAAATCGGGCTTCCTTTCGCCCGACTTTCGAAGTTCATGAAGTGTAGAAACCGCTGTGCTATAACTATGCATTGTGTCGATATGAATTAGAGTTGTGGTTGGGATTGTATTTTTTGGTAAGACAAAATTTCATGTATATCACGTGACATGATCATAAAACATAGTAAAGGAAAAATTAGTAAAAAAATCTCCGGCGGAAGTCTACAGGTTTCGTTTTGTTAGATATTGAATTCTAACCAAGCCTTCTATCAACAATTTAGTATTAGTGTCTGACCGGGATTGCTTATAATTGTGCAATTTTCCAAAAACGTTGATCTCTATTGGAGCATGCTTTTTAAATGAAGATATTTAACAAATGTTCCACAGCCTCGGCATAGTGAAACACGTTTTGTATATTTTCATGAACCTACATTATACCGATACAATTCTACGTAGAAGAAAGTAACCTTCACGACGTTTCTTGGCCCGTTAGTATGATAGTAATAATAACGTGATAATATAGGACTGACGTATATGTTAACGCATTAGAAAAACGAAATTAAAGTGTGTTTCACTCTTGCATCAGACAAACTGTCTGCAATCTCTTTGTTATTTAGATGTACTGTATGTTGTCACGGTACAGCTTTGTGACCTTGCAAAGTTTAGCGTCTTTCTCTTCAATCGTCATGTCACTATAAAGTATGCTGTCTTCAAGCTCACAGGGGCCCATAGTTGCATTGTGTAGCCCATCATCTAGGATACAAGCATCGTATACCGCCGCGTCATCAAAACGCAAGTGCAAGTTCATCAGCATCAGTAGATTCACTGTTCCGGACCTGCCAACAGTTCTTTCTTGTACTCTGGCAGCGCATTTGCGATATACCTTTCAAATAGTTTCATGGCATCATCTTGCACGGTTGTTTCAGACGTAAATTTACGAACGTTGAATGAAAGCACTTTAGATTCTGAGAAATGAACTTTGTATTTCGACATTGGTATTGTGTGTTTGTCTTGGAGAACCGGGTAATATAGCATACTAGTGATTGTTTGCGTCAATATTTGGATAATTTAGTTAGTGAAGCGATAAAAAATATTTGAGCAGTCGTAGTTTCCCGCATCTTCAGCTCGTTTATTCGATTCTTGTTCTTATAATTCCTTGCAATTAGAATAGTCCTTTACATTCTAATAAGATCAATATTTATTTATAAATTTATTTCGTTCATTTTCTGGTGAAGATATCTCTACCGCTGTAAAAGTGCAAAACGCCTTCCATCCCTTCGTTTATAGTCACAATCTGCCTATGGTCACAAATAATTCGTGCCAAAACCATTTCATATGAAAATCACATTGCCTATAGTCACAGTCTCTAATAAAATCTCCTTATAGTCCCTATCACAAGTACTGTATAGTCACATCTGATCACGTGTTTGTTTGATTTGTAAGACGCAGCGCTTTATTTAATTTGTAAAACGCGTTTCTAAAGTTTAAATTCAATAAAATTGTCAATTGCTCCTACAATTTCACAAAAAAAAAAAGCTAAAAACTAATGCTAGCAAGGCACAGCAATCTCTGTGGAGACAAAAAAGGCACTGTGTCTGTACAAACGAGATCATCCTAATTGTTCAGCAAAAAAAATTGATGGAAACGTTGAACCTCAACGTTGACCGTTCAACAGTCACTAAAATATTAGCTGAATTAAAACGATGGATTAAAAAGAGAAGACGTTAAGCATAAGGAAACGGAGAATAACATGTGATAATTCACGTGCCATTTTCTATAACCCCCTCAGTTTATAATCACCAAAAATGGGCTGCCAAAAGGGTATGATATACGAAATCGAACTTGTCTTCGAATTTTTGACATCAGGACTATTCCTATTTAATTCGTTTAGTGGAGTGAAAATTTCCCAACCTATAGGCTTTCGAAACTAATCCCATCGGAAATAGACGTAGAAATGATAATCTGGGGACGGCGTATACAAGACCGATCTATAGATCGTGAGTCCGACACAAGTACTGTATTAGCATATAGACTAATCTGTCCAACTTTTATCAAGGGGCTCAAGCCTTTACCTGGAAAACGATTAGACCCCCCACCAATGTTATTTCGAAAAAACCTGTCAGACTTATGAATGCAACAATTTGGTAACGTTGCTTTCAGATAAATTACAATTTTACCGCCTTATTGTTAGACGCGTGTTTATAGATTTGGTTGAAAACCACAGCTTTTGCTTTATTTTAACCCAATTTCGCTTTTAATCTGCCACAAGAATTACTTGTTATCAGCCCGCTATCATTTATAAAGTTTAGCGCGTCGCTGTTTATAGATTTCTTTAATACTCGTTTCCGGAAAGTGTTAACTTTGTTCTCGATCTATACGTACGTCGATTTAACGTAACAAATATATTAATATCTTAGTTGTTACCAATGATTATGAAAATATAGTACAGTCGTTCCCCCTCTATAGTCACACAATGCAACTTTTGTTGGAAGTGTGCTTATAAAGAGGTTGTGACTATATAGAGGGTTTTTTTCTATAAGTTTGATAGTAATTGGTTCTCAATATGGTGTGCTTATAATAATAAAGAGGTTTTTTATATGATGTGCTTATAGAGGGGGTGACTGTAGAGGATGACTGTACATACTAATACCCTTCTTGCTGATCTTACCATGTTAATGCTAGCTTTGGCACGTTTTTCTGTAGCTTGCCAATAAAGTCGTGCAGTGGTACTCAAACCCTAAACCATGCATAACATTACGAGGATATTTCTAAATTCTAGCCATAGCACTTGAGGGTACACAATATCTATTCAACCGAAAATGAATAAATCAAGCATCACGAAGGGAATGCTCAGAATTTAATAACTTCCGGGATTTGTAACAATTTCGTGTATATTTAAATGATAAAATTTATTATTATTATAACGTTCAATCGAGTGCATATGCATTTCGCAGATCATTAATTGAAACGTGATCACATGCATGCGCTGCGTAAATGCAGGATGCTGTTCCAAGATTTTATTGTGAAACGGCAGAGATGGGCGGAATTTGAATGTGGAAACACGAAAAACTAGTCATCCAAAGTGCACAATACACGATATGATGTGACCATGAAAATAATGAATATCAATCAGCAGAGCTAATTGTTTTACGAGGGAATGTGAGTATCTGGTCACATGGAGGGTTCGGGCATAACCGGAGAAGTCGCTCAAGTGTCGAAAGTAGGAGTATGCTCGACGTGCAGTTCGGTGCATCACATATAGATGGCACACCTATATTTTCAAATGATCTACTCCGGCAACAGTAAAACGTGCACGATTTTATTTTAACTCAACCCATACATTAGAAGAAGAGCAGCCCTTTAATAAAACTCGTATAAACTGTAAATAAACGTGAATTATAAGTTTATTCAAAGAGTGTTTGAGTCACTAAATCGTAAGCAGTGGACGATGTTAGTATTGTAGATTGACTTCATTAATAACCAATTGTTGTCTCCATACCTGCAGCTGAATCCAAACCATCTCCCTTACTCCCCTAAATTTAGCAAGCTGAAATCTGATAAGGGAGGTAACTGATGAGAATTATTTCTTGGTTTAGGCAGATCTCCAGTAGGTAAGAGCGTACTAGAATATTTACTCCTCTTCTCGAGACGTGATAAGGGTTTTACATCATTATGGTAAACGGCATTCCACGTGATGTCATTGTATTTCACCCCTTCATTAAGTTTGAAAATATCATCCCAAAGTCTCCTTGCATCTGGACGCTTATCAGGATCAGCATCGCAACACCGCTCGGCAAGTTTCTTGTATTCCTCTGGTGCGGAATCAGGCATCGATGGTCGCAGTCCGTCCATAATGTCGCATACTAAATCTCTATCGAACTGCCTATCTCTAAAAGGTGGTTCACCAGTAGCAATCAA